CACCCTCTGTAATATCCTCACATACCCCAAGGGTACATGTATCCCTGGTTGGGATTCACTGCTCTACATGACTATGAGCCTGAAATGAGTTTAAAAAATAATAACTTTTTCAGGGTAATACAGCAACATTTATTTGAGAAATGTAAAAATAAGAGATAAAATGTTCCTTTATGGCCCAAATGATACAAACAAAATGATTCAATTTATTGCCTGAAGCTTCGAATGCAAAAGTTCTTTTATAAAGTATTTTTTTAAAATTGTAATCAGGTGTTATTTGACAATGATCTTATGTAATAAATGGAGTTATATGCATTTGGTCCTAAATAAGTCTGGGTTTGTTAAAACATGTTCTTCCTGCCTTTTTTGTCTTAATTAAGTAATTCTGTGGGAATCGGCTCTGAAAGCTTTACAAGGCTTTATGTATTCTTTAAGACTTGTTAAACAGTCATTAAAATGTATTAAAACTTGTGCCCCGTGTTTATTTCTCATTGGCCCCTCTGTCCTCGTTCCCAGATCTGACGGCCCGTCTCTTATGGATAAAGTGGGATTAAACCAAGAAGACTGCAGGCAGACAGCCGGTACTCCATCTGCAGACTTCTCACCAGGTCACACACCTCAGGCTTTGTCGGCCTCATCCACTACTTTCTGCTCAGCAGCTTTTARTATTCTAATTTATTAACTGAGAGTCATTGTTCCTGGGACGGGAGGAGGGTTGGCACAGCACAACTTTCTCAAATGGCACTTGTCACAGAGAGGCACGACGGCGAAGGACTCGTACTTCTGCAGGCGGAGCTCAAGTGTTTTCTGGAGTCGATGTGTTAAAAAGAGCCTTCATCATGTAAATGAGACGACGGGCGTGAGAAAAAAATATCWGTACGCCGTACGTGCAGGTGCTTTGGTTCAACTAATGTTTGTCAACTTTTAGCTGTTAATTAAACTTGTTTTTGAGGAAAAAAATCATTTCTTTGATTTTTTTATGATTTCAAATGTGAATCACTGCTGAGACTTTTTACATCTTTTTAATAACCTTTGAAAAAAGCCAACAATTTGATGTAAAATTCACTGTGTATAAAGTGTGTGCATGTAGCAAAAAAAATAAATCGTAAAATTTGTTCAGCTTTGAGCAGCAGAAAACTGTGATGGTCATCCCTGATTTGTTTTGTTTTGTTGTTTAATTCTACGATGATTTATGTGCAAGATATGACAAGTTAAAAAGATCCATCACTTYCCGTTTTGAAGAAAATATTTTGAGCTAAAGTATTGGCTTTATACACTGTACTCTTTTGGGAGATTAGAAAAAAAATATGTCTTATAGAGATGAGAGCCAAACTGCGTGTATAATTTCTACCAAAAGTAGTAGCAGGATTAAGAAAAGTTGGTTTTTTTTTTTTGCACAAATTCTGAAGTTTACATGTAGTGTGTGTGCAGTGTTGC